ATGAATGTGTGTATTGTATTTTCATAGTGTACTATGTTTTTTGTAAAATGTATCATGTATGTGTAATTTATTTATTGTATGTTAAATTTTTTTTAATTTGTCAAGGTAAGCGGTATGTTGAATGCCTCGCCATTTGTTTGTATTTACATCGCTTCGCAAGTGTAACGAAGTGAAAGGATCAGCTTTGATCGTGCCCACGCTAAGACAGATGAGAGTGTGACCAGATGGCCATGGGCCTTTGGAATAAATAAAGTGAGAAAAAATACAATCCATTTTTGAGTGTGAGTATTTTTATTTACATAGAGCTATCGATGGGCCAAAACAATTAATAAGAATTTTTTAAACATTCATGACCCGAATTACACATAAATTATACACATTATCATACAGGGTGGTTCGCTACCAGACCGACTAACTTGCAGAATGTGTAGAGGTTACACACAGAAGACTTGGAGTCACTTATGAATACAGGATCTAGTACGCCAATGAATCGGCGATCTATCCCCTGCTGACCAAAGGTTACGTTGAGGTGTCGGCGGACGTTAATTTTGTAATGTGTAGGAGCCCCGTTGTGCTGATACCACGTGAAGGGGTGCAACGACGCAGAAGCACGTGCTGCGTCAAGAAGTTCCATAATAAAGGACCTCTTATCAGTAAAATCAAGGAATTTTATAGTTCAGGAAATTCGACAATTACAATTATTATTTCCATATCAAAGTATCAGGTATAAAAGAGAAAATTTATTTTCTAAATGTATTTGTTAGATTAAAAAGTTTAGAAAATAGATAATATAGCTTATAGTTCCCTATGCTTAATATCTAAGCTTTTTAAAAGCAACAGTCTGTCAAGTCTACTGGGATCTAAGCGGTTCCGCTCATCAGTTGCGATGTTGCCGGCAATCAAAAAAAGGCGCTCACAAGGAACAAATGTTACTCATATACATCATGTCTATTGAGTGAACGTGATGATAAATACAGTTTTTTTGGTTCTTAACAGTAAATTAACCCTTTAACCACCAACACCGTAATATAACGGGGTTTAAAAATAATACATACAAAAAATTGTAAATAATTTTTCGATTTTTACCAAAACAGAAAAAAATCGAATGTCGATTTTCTAGGATGAAATATCGATTCACTAAATCAATTAAATGATACTATCCATTTAAAATACGATTTTTTTGGCCAGAGAAATCGATTCTTCAATTAATCGATCTCAGATCTATTAATCGAAGAATAATAGTCCCTAGACCATCGACAAACTCAATGTATCCTTTGGACTGTGGAGAATAGGTTGTGGTGGCTCGGTTCATTGGCTTACCTTATCACCAGACTTATCGTGGATGAACTTCTTCTGGTGTACGATACGCTCTTTCCTTCAGTTGAAGACCTCGTTGCTCACATATCTGTAGCTGCTGAAAAAAATGTGATATCCTAGTAATCCTTCAGAATGTAAGGAATTCCATGCAGCGCCTCCGTCAGGTATGACAGATGACTTCTGGGCGCAATTTCAAACACCTTTTGTAGTACAACCTTTTTATGAAATTTTTTCTGTTCCATGAATGTGTTGCAGTTTCTGTTCCTTTTCTCTGCTTCTTTGCACCGTAGCTTACAACTACAGCATTTGTGACCCTGAAAGACTCTGAATCGTCTCTGTACCCACTATAACTCCCCACAAGTTTTTCGGTCTGGTAGCGAATCGCCCTGTATACATAAATTATATACAAAATAATATTCCCATAACATTTACTTATTGTATCTGAATAAAGCAATTAAATTGCGGCATTTTATTTTTATACTTGTACAGAAAATTTAGATTGAAAAAAAACATGGAAAAAAATCCATATTGCACCTTTATTATATATATATATACATATTTACCTGAACATATATGCGTATATGTTACACCAGCGTGTGTTTGATCAGGAAGTATTAATAATATTATTTCATACACCTGGTTCTATTAATCAAAAACGCCGATTTTATTTTTATACGAGGAATTTACTTATTTAAATAACTTCAATTAAATTTTGTTTCCCTTTCTTATAATGGAATTTATAGGAATAAATATATTTTTTTATTTGTTACACATTTCGGTATCGTATGCATTAAATACTTGTATCCAATATTAATTTTCATAAATATTAACAAAAAACAAGCTTTAAAAATAATTTCGTACACTGGCTTTTTTCTGTAAATGTTATCTTAGGAAGAATTCCAAGAAATTTCTGTTTTCCATGAATTATATTTGAAAGCATAAAAAAATACATTACCATACCAAAAAAGTAAAAGCAAACAGCTATAAATGCTATTAAAAATGCTAAATGCTAAGTAAAGCACTTATTTTACAAAATAAAAATTATTCATTCCACTATACGTCTAGTAAACAAGAGTATAAAACTTTTAAAAAACGTTAGTAACAACACTAACGTTGAGAACAGGATTAGTACTAAGTATTTTTTTAAATAAAAGTTGATTAAAATTTTTATAGAACTTTTCAAAAGTCTCTTTTATTCGCCATCTTGAAATTCACTTAATAAAAGTAAAGTTAATCCATTGAAATTTTTAAAATTATCCAGTCTAGACTACCGAAACAGTTAAATAAAACAAATTATATTATTATCGAAATAATGCATCACTTAAAGAATCAGAAATAAGAAAAGTTTTTGTTCTTTTCACACTTAATATTAAAAAGTACTTATAAAAGCTTCAAAAGTGTGAAAGCAACAGAATATTTAAAACAAATAATCTGAGAAATAACAGAAGGAAAAAATAATTCGATAGATATCTTCTTATTCATTCTGGCGCAATTTTTACTGTAATCAAATAGATATAATAACATATAATTTAGATTTAATAGTAAAAACACCTGTATGAAAAAATTCTGTTTAAAAAAAAATGCTTAAAATGACAGAAGAGAATAATAAATATACTAAAGAATTTATCTTCAATTATTTTTCTGTTGTGTGATCTAAAGTCGATGCATATATTTAGATTCAACCTCGTACAAGTTATCTATTCATCGAGAAACTTAAATAAATAGAACATTTTTAAATCATTATGCTTTTGAATTTTTCTCAGTTATCACTTACGTTTTCCCAAAAAAAAATTTAAAAAATGCTTATTACTGTAAATTTTTATTTGAAAATGTCAAGAAAATTCATGAAAAAAAATGTTCCACTTTTAATTTCTTTCAATATTTATTTTTATTTTTAGGTAAAACTAATCAAACAATAATGTTATAATTCCACAAAAATACTGCCAAATATTGGACATAATTGCATTTAAAGCATTTTCAGTTAGATGAACAGATAAAAAACACAAACTCTTCCAATATTTCAGAATAAAAAATTTAACTAATTTAAAAATAATTAATTTGCATGTTCTCATTGCAATTCGCACATGTTTATTATTATGCTCAATATCACACATATAGTACTAATGCTTTTAACCATAAGATTCATAGCAGGTAAAGCTTATGCCATTTTACTTTCTCAAATGAAACAATGAAAGCCTTGAAAAATCCACACACGGCATTCAAATTCTTTAAAAGACATGATGTGAAATTTAAAAAAAAAGGAGATATCTGCTTAGGTTACATTCTTGTCACGAGACCATTGTTTAAAATACGAAATCCACTGACTCTTGTCTTCGTTTGACAATTTAAAACTGTTTTAACTAATGAGAATAATTCGAAGAAAGTAGATTAGCAGAAGCTTAACAAATTTAAGGAAGTGGCAGGCTAAATGTAACTCTTGATTTATATGCATGAGTGAATTATTTTATTAAAGGATTTGAAAAGTATTATGTACATGACATTTCAGAAAATGTGAGCTAAACTTAATTATTTTTCTAACTCTTCTTATATTTCTTTGTTTCTCCAATTTATATTTTTTATTCTAATGTTTTTCATGGACTGGCATTTCTGTTCCTGCATGACTTTATAAAAATCTATTACTACTTAAAAAGCGTTTTCGAGGGAGCTTCAAATACAACTGAATAAATAATAGCCACTCTCTACTACATATATTATTTTCCTTCCTCAGCCAGAAACTGACTATTTATTTAACCTTATCTCTTACAAATGGTACACAAGCAGTGGTTTCATTTTCCAGAAGAACATATATTCCATTTGAAAAGTTCAACTCCCATTGTTGACTTTATTATCTGCATTTCACAGATGAATAAACGCGCTCATTTAACATCTAGACATGATTCTAGACGAGCACATTAAAGTGCATTCATACGTTAAATAAACGCGGTCTTGAATCTGATATCAAACTGTTGACACATTTTCTTTACAGTTTCATTCTTCTAAATGATATATTTTTACTGTTGTGCAGTTGGTTCTCGTGTGCAACAGTTTAAGCTTTAGTTTAGTAAATAATAAAAGTATGTTTATAAGGAACTGTATTTTATTTACATGTAGCCAACTGTGTATGTGTGCGTGCGTGTTTGAGCAAAAATATCAAATTTAATGTATTGAAATAGATATATATATATTAAATATATTCAATATCAGCGTCAGAATATATAAATATATATTATGAAGTTTTAAATTATTCAAATATCTATTACATCTTTACTTATATCAAGGTGTTTTTCAAAAAGATACTATAGTTTTTTTTTAGAAAAAAAAAACGAAATTTTCCGAATTTACTAAAATTCTGAATAATTGATGAACTGAATAATAAATTTGAGTCATTAAAAATGTTTTCTGATTTTTCTTTCAGCTTTTCAATTCTTACAATTAGTTCACTCTCTCCCTATATATATATATATATATATATATATCTTGTTCAAATTTTCAATCGTTAATAAAACACTTTTTCCTTTCATCCATTCAAGTTCAAATATATTCTTTTAAATTTGTAATGGATGACACTTGATGTAATACAGTTTTTTCAAATAGTAATTCATTTATTGAAGTAAGAAATGGATAAATAGTAATCAACAAAAATAATAGTCTAACAGCATATATAGGAGAAAATCGTTCGTTGTGTCCCTATAGCGCAATGGATAGCGCGTTGGACTTCTAATCCAAAGGGTCGTGGGCTCAAAACCCATTAGCGATGGCCTAGTTTCTGAGAATGTGAAGAATTAAGAATAATTTAATATTATTATTTTTTATTATTATAAAATTTATTACGGTAATTTAAATTAATTAATTAATAAATAGTAACAAACAAAAAATAGTCGAACACCATACATAGAAAAAAAAATAGAAAATTGCAAGATAAATCGCTTTCTATTTTGAGACTTAATATTGTGATTCTGCCATATGTATATACATACTTATATTAATTGTTAAAATTTAATAAAAAGTAGCGAAAATAATAAAAAAAAATTGTTGATCTAAGTAGGAATTGACTTAATTTTTTTAATGTTACTTGTTATTAATAAAAACAGGAAGATGAAATTTATATTGCATCCTACTTCAGTACATCATATAATACTTACATGCTCTATACTTAAATATTTAATATTAGAAATTATAAACACACACATCATAACATCAAAAATAGGCAAATTAGTTTATTGCTAATTTTAAGAACATTGTGGCTAGTTTTGTAAACAATATTTAATTAGATTTTAAAAGAAAGCAAATAGATTATCCTACATGAAAAAGAAGCATTATTTTATTAATTGTAATTATTTATATAACAGAAGAGAGACAGTAAACGATATAAAAATTTTATCAATAACCTGTGTTTCGTTCTCTAAATACAAGAAAAGGGAGAACTAGCTACGTGGAATGTCTTATGAGCATTGACTCGAGAGCAGTAATTATTTTATTAATGTATATATTAATTAAAAGCCATTTTGATTTGTTTTGGAATTCAGATTAGAAAATAAACTTACCTCAATTGATATCATGGTAAAGCATGTTGTTCATCATTTATTTTACATTTGCAAAAAGAGTGATAATACATGATTTTAGAATAATTCTAAATAACTTACATAAATAAATCATTTAATTAATAATCAATAAAAATATTAAAGTTAACAATCAAATGTGAAAAAACTTTCTGGTGTAATAAGCTTAAGCGACAAACCAACTGTTAAAAAATAAAGTTATTTATTATAGAATTCTTTCAACTTGTTCGTAAAAAAATAAAAACTATGTTATTTTTTATATAACAAATGTTAAATAACAAGAAGTATTGAGTAGAAAAAAATACAGTTTTTTTCACATGGAAAAAATTGTATTTGAAATGCCAATTGCTTTTTATTCGTTTTTATATGAGAAACAAAAAAATAATACAATTTTTCTATCAATTCTTATTTATAGAATCTAAAGTCCTTTTTTGTATAGTTCTCGTGTAGCGTTAACAAACACACATTCAATCATTAGAGTTACATAGAAATAATTATTTTAAGACCTATGGTATCTCTCAGCAAACAATTGCTTCTTGTAATTACTTAATTAGTTTTTACTATCTAACTATAATTATTTTCTTGAATAGCACAGCAAATAAATACATACTGGAAATAGAGCTTTATTTGCCCTACTAATTAAACCAAGATAAACTGTTTAAGATAGATAGGTTTATCATAAACACTCTCACAACACTTCAAATAACTGAGTAAAACACTGCAACGTCTCTCATATAATTAATACAAACTATTAACTTTAATATCTTTCTACATAAAAAAAAAGTTTTCTCTATGCTGCTGTAATTTATTTATACATAAGGTATAGTTCGTAAAAATGGGTCGCAAGAAGCTGAATTCAACTAAAGAGAAGTGAGAAGAACGATTTTCCTAGGAGTTCTCCCCTATCTTTCAGCACTTTCTCGAAAAATCAGCTTACGTCATAGATCGGGATGTCGTAGATTTCTCCAGTAATTTCCAGAAGCATCCATATGGTTGCCAAAAATGGTTGCCAGGTCATCAAATTTCGTCGCCAAAATTTAAAATATAACTACATAATACATGTACATTACAGTTTTATAATTTGAGCAATGAGTATGAACTGTAAAATTTGCACAATAGGTATTGGTCCATCATTAGGCAGACAGGGTGTACCCCCCCCCTCCCTTGTCTACTTTAATAAAAAATCTAAATTCTTCAACTTTAAACATCTGCCCCGCTATTAACCCTAGAGAAATTTTTTAAGCATGTAAGAAAGTTATAAATCCATTTAAAAACCATTTGAATCTTAATAAAAAAAACTGTAATAACTATTTTAAGAAATTGTAAAACCTATACAAAAATAATAATTAGCATTATTTTATTGAATAATTCCCCAAATTGTCAGATAAATACCTTTTCATTCTTATCTCTCCAGCAGAAAACACAAAACCCTTGTTCCCAGCATCAAACATCCTATGTGAAAGGTTCTTTTTTTCCCGCACTGATAAAATACAGGGTAACGATGGAGAAAAATTGTCGCTGTCCACGGTAGCATTTGTCTTTGCGAAAGCCTAGAGGTGGACGGAGGAAAACAGAGTCCAGGGGAGGGCGGGGACTAAATAGACTATGTGCATAGCCACCCGTGCATCACACTGGTCAGAGCAGATCACGACATTTTTTTTTACGCACGTGCGAGTAAAGGCATTATTACGGTTGTTTTATTCTCCGGGCAATCTGTTCTGCTCCCCTTTCGATACATCACAGATGACAGCTTACAATTTCTAACACGGGTTTGGAAAATTACCCCGGATATTTTTTTTCCCCGGATCGTACTTCGATCTGCACCTCGTCTTCATTTTCCTGCTGTGGAGAGAGACGTTTAAGATACCTATCTCTTTTCTGATAGGGAAAAATGGGGGAAGTTTTATAATTTTGCTTATTTATTTAAAGGTTTTTGAATTGTTTAAAATGGTAGTTCCACACATTTTGTTTTGATGTATGGGGAGTATTATCTTGTCAGTAACGGGTAGTACTAGGAAAGTTTTATCCGTTTTATTCTCCTTCCGATTCTAAGATGAAAAAAGTAATAAAAACAGTTAATGTTCTTTGCTTGAGTAATATATTTTTAAACTTCTTTTAGTTATAGATACAAACCATAAACTCTTTGTGTTAAATAATTTCAATGCAAGACATAAACAATAAAAACTTTTTGACGTACTTACAAAACAATAAATGTTTGATTGCGGTTTTCACTAAATAAAAGCAATGAAGCAATACATATACACGCGCAGACTTTATATATATATATATATATATATATATATATATATATATATATATATATATATATAATATATTAGCTTATATACAAAATATATAAAATAGATACTATGAGGCATTCACAAATTCAAAGATAAAATTACAAAAGTATTTAATAAATATAACTATGGTACAGATAATAAAATCTTTTAATAATATTAAAGTCAGATTAAAATTTACAAAATAAATTTTTATAGTTTATGTTGATAAAATGCCAGGAAATTTTGCCTTCATATTAAATACTATTATATTATTGATCAACAATTATTTCGATAATAATACAGCTTTTATTAAGTCTTCTGTTTCTGATAGAGAAATAAATAAACTATCTTGGCTTTTCATAAAAGTTAAAATTCAAATTAATAATAATTTTAAAATTCCACATATTTCTTACTCCCAAATTTCATAAAGACCCGTTAAATTTAGGACAGTTACAAATGGTTTTAATACAAAATATCAGCAAAACAGGCAAAATTTCCATGAAATATTGCATGAAACAATAAATAATCTTAAATCCTCTGCCATTCTTAAAAATAGCAAGTCATTGGGAAAAAATGAAGATAAAAATTTATTACATGTTTAGATTTTGAAATTCTTTCCTAAAAATTTGATGATTTGATTAATATACTTGTAAAAATTTACATAAAGACAATTTATTTAATAATGTTATATGATGATTTGGGGTTCCTTTGGGTTTGGAATTTATATCAAAAAGGTAACTATTATAAAACAGTTAAGGGATTACAAGGTTAAAACTGTTTACCCAATTTTGAAAGTCCCAATTAATAATTCTAAATTTTATATTTATCGTTATATAGATGATATAATTTTTTTGGGCAAAAAAAACCTTTTTACCTTACATTAATTTTTATCCACAATATTTAATTTAATACGCAAATAATAACAACAGTGAACAAACTTGACTAAAGTCAAATTATATAAAATTAATGTTTAATTTATGATAAAAAAAAATTTTAATTTCAATATTAAAAAAGTTCCTCATTGGGAGAGTAATGTACATGTTTCTATATTCAGAAATATTGTTATTAATTATATACAACGTAATAAATTTCTTGTGTCAAAAATCGACATTTAAATAACTATAAACATTTTACTAAATATTTAAAAATCGAAATACCCAATTAATTTTATTAAAGATATAAAAAAGTATTAAAATAGTTAGGATTAAAATTATGAATTGATAATACTTTTACTATAAACAAATATTTTTTTTATAGTTATCTCCATAATCTAATATTAGATTAGAAATTTCTTACTATTATTTTATTCATATTTACTCTGGTGTTTTTTAGTTTTTATAATATGCAACCTTTTTTAATTTTATTTCCATTCTTTTTTCTTTTTTTGCTACATTTCGTCTTTTTTTATTTAAATCTTTGGGGGATAAAAATCGCACCAAAATTTAAAGTTTCCACCCCCGGGTTTAGCGCGGGCTTTGCATTTTAAATCAATTTTTAGGTAAAACCCCATCTTGTAATGGATTTATATATTTCTATCCTTTATTTCATTGTTTTTTCTCGGTTTTTTCAAAAAGGGGGAATTTCGGCCAAAAACATATTCAACCCCTTTTATATAAATTATTTTTTATATAATAACTGTCCAAGTGTAATGTTCATAAAATGCAGCATCCTTTTTTATTTATTATCTCATTCTCTTTTGTCCCTTCGTGGATTTTCCTCCATTGTTTGTCGAAAAATGATATATATATATATATATATATATATATATATATATATTTTATATAAAAAAAGGAAAAAAGGGTTTTAATTAAGTTGAAGGTTATGGAAAAAAATCCACCAAAAAAATATGTCGAAATTTAAAAAGTCAATAAAACAAAAAGGAAACATGTTATGTTTTCTAGAGCTGTCACTGATTTAGA